TTTTTTTTTGAGACAGAGTCTCACTTTGTCGCCAGCTAGAGTGAGTGCCGTGGCGTCAGCCTCGCTCACAGCAACCTCCAACTCCTGGGCTCACCGATCCTCCTGCCTCAGCCTCCTCCGAGTAGCTGGGACTACAGGTGTGCACCACCATGCCCGGCTATTTATATATATATATATACTTTTAGTTGTCCAGCTAATTTCTTTCTATTTTTTTAGTAGAGACAGGGGTCTCACTCTTGCTCAGGCTGGTCTCAGAACTCCTGAGCTCAAACGATCCTCCTGTCTCAGCTCCCGAGTAGCTGGGACTACAGGCATTGCGCCACACTGCCCGGCTCATTTTTTTCTGTATATATATTAGTTGGCCAATTAATTTCTTTCTATTTATAGTAGACGATGGGTCTCGCTCTTGCTCAGGCTGGTCTCAAACTCTGACCTCGAGCGATCCTCCCGCCTCGGCCTCCCAGAGTGCTAGGATGACAGGCGTGAGCCACCCCGCGCCCGGCCTCTCTTATTTTTTTTTTAAAAAGTCTATATTTTATTAAAGGGCTTCGTATAGTGTCAAGGACATTTTAAAAATAAAAAATTAGCCTGGAGCATTTATCATCCGAAGTCGTCTAATGGTAAATGTGTATGTTTTAGCCCCCGTAGCTAAGACCTGTCCCGCTTGGTGGCTTTTTGCTGTAAAGACGGCCCATGCATGGGGTGACTTGTACCACTTAGGGTCACCGTCATGGCTGAGGAAGGCTGGGAATGCCGACAGCCCATCCTGCAGGAAGAAACAAGATCTCCCTGACGAAAAAAAAAAAAAAAAAAAAAAACACCTGCAGAAATGTTTGCTTCAAATGGTTGTGTTCTGTTGGAGACTGGAACATTTTCCAGACAAAACATGAGATTGGAAGTCCATTAGGAAAGCCAAAACATTCTGATCGCCTCTACTCCTCTTGCCATGTAGGATTTGGAACAGCTGAAAAGGGCTGCAGGTTGTGCGTGGTTTTCAGAACTCTGCACGTTTCTATCCTGCATAGCACTTGCGTGATGCTTGGAAAAAAAAATCTATCTCCTTAAAAGACCCCTCTTTGCTAAAAACTTTATTTATTAATTTATTATTATTATTATTATTATTTTTTGAGACAGAGTCTCACTCTGTCGCTCAGGCTAGAGTGAGTGCCGTGGCGTCAGCCTCGCTCACAGCAACCTCCAACTCCTGGGCTCAAGCGATCCTCCTGCCCCAGCCTCCTGAGTAGCTGGGACTACAGGCATGTGTCACCGTGCCCGGCTAACGTATGTTTTTAGCTCTTTGGCTAATTTCTTTCTATTTATAATAGAGGCGGGGGTCTCCCTCTTGCTCAGGCTGGTTTCAAACTCCTGACCTCGAGCTGATCCTCCCGCCTCGGCCTCCCAGAGTGCTGGGATGACAGGCGTGAGCCGCCGCGTCCGGCCCCTGCTACTCTCTTTTGAGGAAATGCCCCACACCTTTCTAAAATGCTTATTATCCTGTCATGGAGTTGTCCCAGAGACATTCCAGGTGGCCACAGCTTTTATTTTAAAATATAACTCCGGGATTATCTAATGAAGTAGGAAAGCCCTTTTAAGAGCTAAGTGGCCTTAGACAAATCTGCATTTAACTAAGAAAGTCTTTTTGGTGAGAAGTGGGAATAATCAATGTGTGATCTTCTACTAAACTGTTGTCTATACGGCAGCCTCGCCCTAAACATAGGCCGGCAGGGTGCAAGACAAGAAGAGGGGCTGCCAGGCACTGGTGGTGGTTCTTTGAAACACCTGCCTTCAGCCCACTCAGGACCGAACCCACAGATTCACGGGTAGACTTGTGGAAGGTCTACGCCTATAGCTTTATCGCCCCAAATAAAGAGCTTTATTGATGGAACCACACTTAAATGTGCACGAGTAAACTGAGGTACCTAAGATTAACGTGCAGTTGGAAATGCCCTGAGTTCGGTTGTCCTCCTGATACCGTCAATTCTTTGCACAAATCAAAAATTCCATGAGGTTCACGCCTGTCATCCCAGCACTCCGGGAGGCCGAGGCGGGAGGATCGCTGGAGGTCAGGAGTTCGAGACCAGCCTGAGCAACAGCGAGACCCCCCCGTCTCTACCAAAAAATAGAAAGAAATTAATTGGCCAACTAAAAATATATATAGAAAAAATCAGCAGGGCATGGTGGTGCGTGCCTGTAGTCCCAGCTGCTTGGGAGGAGGCTGAGGCAGGAGGATCGCTGGAGCCCAGGAGTTGGAGGTTGCTGTGAGCGGGGCTGATATCACGGCACTCACTCTAGCCCGGGCGACTGAGTGAGACTCTGTCTCAAAAAAACAAAACAAAACAAAAAACCAGAACAACATTCCTCGTGGATCTAGGCAGGATTTGGACTTTGAGATTCATGTTGCAATTTGTATTCTGGACTAAAGTTTGACATTGCTAGAAAAAGCAAGGAGGTGGGAGAAAAGGCCCTTTTATTCCGCTATAGAACCCCTCATTCTGATATAGAAGCATACAGCTGTTAGCGTTTTCTTATATATCGGAGACAAAGTATTTGGTATTCTCAGGAATACCAGGAATTCTGTGCAGATGATCAGATGATGCTCTCTAAAATTGTGAAACTTGGTAGTTGGGGCTAGCGTAGACATTCTTAATTATTTTCAGTTTGATGAAAGCTACAGATCCCTCCTCCAGAAAAAAAAAAATATATATATATATATATATTTGAGACGGAGTCTCACTCTGTTGCCCAGGCTAGAGTGCCGTAGCATCAGCCTCACTCACAGCAACCTCCAGCTCCTGGGCTCAAGCGATCCTCCTGCCTCAGCCTCCTCCAGAGTAGCTGGGACTACAGGCATGCGCCACCACGCCCGGCTCATTTTTTCTATGTATTTCTAGTTGTCCAGCTAATTTTTTCCATTTTTGGTAGAAACGGGGTCTCGCTCTTGTTCAAGCTGGTCTCAAACTCCTGAGCTCAAACGATCCTCCTGCCTCAGCCTCCCGAGTAGCTGGGACTACAGGCATGCACCGCCATGCCTGGCTGATTATTTCCATATATCTTTTTAGTTGGCCAATTAATTTCTTTCTATTTTTAGTAGAGTTAGGGTCTTGCTCTTTCTCAGGCTGGTTTCGAACCCCTACCTTGAGCGATCCTCCAGTCTTGGCCTCCCAAGAGAATGTTAGGATTACAGGCATGAGCCACCGTGCCTGGCTAAGATATATAAATCTTTACATCTTTATATATATAAATCTATATATAGATAGATATAAAGATATATAAATATATATCTTTATCCATATAAATCTATATATCTATATAAGTCTATATATCTATCTTATAATCTTTAATCTATATATGGTAATACGCAATCTATATATTTCTATAAGATATCTAGTCTATCATAGATTACTCTATAAAAATCTATATTAAGCTCTTAATAAATCTATATAATATCATAAGATATCTATATAGATATCTATTAGTCTATAATCTATATAATCGTATAAACGATATCTAATATGATATCTATAGTAGCTATAAACTCTATTATCTATAAAGATATCTATATAGATATCTATATATCTATAAATCTATATATCTATAAAGATATTATATTAGCGATATCTAATATATCTATAAAGATATCATATAATATCTATATATCATAAACTCTAGATACGTCTAATAAGATATCTATATAACTACTCTATATACTATCAAATCCTTATATACTCTACTAAACGATATTCTATATAGATATCTATTATACGCTCATACATCTATATAGGATCCTATAAAATTCATATCAGAAGTATCTATATACGCTTATAATCTATATATTTATAACGAATCTATATAGCACATCTATAATCATGTCTATAAAGAATATCTATAAGTATATCTATATAGTTACATAATCTATACTAGTCTACCAAAGAGTACTTCATATAGATATCTATTATAATCTATAAATCCGTATCATATCCTATAAAGATATCTATTAGATATTATATAGCTACTATCCTAGTAAAGTATCTATATAGTTATCTATATAGCTATAAATCTATATATATAAAGATATCTATATAGTTATCTATATAGCTATAAATCTATATATCTATAAAGATATCTATAATATTGATATCTATATACTACTAAAGAATCTAAATATACGATATCTATAAGCTAATAAATCTACATATATCTATAAACGATACTCTACCCTATAGATATCTCATATATTTAAATCTATATATCGTAGTAAAATATCCTATAAGATACTCTATATATCCTATAAATCTATATATCTAGTAAACCAAAATCTATATACGTTTCATATAGGCATAATACTATATCTATTATATCTATAAAGGAGTATCTCTACTATCAGAGATCCTATAATATAATTGTATCTCTATATCTATAAAGATATCTATATAGATATCTATATTATTATACATAATATATATGTATCTATAAAGGTACTACATATAGATATATACATATTAAATTATCTACTTAAATCATATATCTATAAAAGATAATCTATATAGTCTATCTATTAAGCTATAATACTATTCTATATATCTATAAGTATATTTATATAAATCTATAATATGTATCCTTATATCATAAATATAATCTATATTCGAATCTATATATCTATAATATATATTTATATATCTAGGAAGTTCTATATAGACTATCTCTATATACCTATAAAAATATATCTATAAAATATATCTATATATATAAATCTATATATCTATAATCTATAATCTAGATATATAGATTTATATAGATAAAGATGTAAAGATGTATAAAGACATATGGATTTATATATCTTTATAAAAGGGAATGAAGTCGCCGCGTGGACAGGGATCAGTAGAATTCTTGGTTTTTCTTTTTGGTGTCAGACTCCTGTTTCCTTTCATGATGCTGAACATATTAGCACAATTTAAATTTTCTGTCTCTCTTTCTTTTTTTTTTCCCCCCCTCCCCTGCAGGCCAAGTTCACCGACGACTGCAAGTTCAGGGAGCGGTTTCAGGAGAACAGCTACAACACGTACGCCTCGGCCATCCACAGGAGCGAGGAGACGGGGCGGGAGTGGTACGTGGCCTTGAACAAAAGGGGGAAAGCAAAGAGGGGGTGCAGCCCCCGGGTGAAACCCCAGCACGTGTCTACCCACTTCCTCCCAAGATTCAAGCGGTCGGAGCAGCCGGAACTCTCCTTCACGGTGACCGTCCCCGAGAAGAAGATGCCACCTAACCCCATCAAGCCAAAGGCCCCCCTGTCTGTGCCTCGGAAAAACCCCAACACGGTGAAATACAGGCTCAAGTTTCGCTTTGGGTGAGAATGCGCCGATCTTGGCCTTGCAGGAAAGCCGCTGGCTCTTGCCCCTCAGGAGAAGTTTCGAACTGGCGTCCGGAGGCGAAATTTCCAGAAGGCACAGCTTGAGCTACATCCTTACACTGTTTCGAAGTCAGGTCATTTGTTTCAGTTTGGCTGAAACAAACAAACAAACAAAAAAAATGTTTTTTTGATTGCAACCGAACTGGAATTCTTTGTATCCGTGGCAGGGAGTAAGTACATTGCTTCACTTCGGGCAGACTTCAATTTTTAAAGCCTTTTTTGCATTTTATGCTTTTGCCGAAGGGGATTGTTTGGAACTCTCTTCGTTTTTTTTTTTTCAGGAAGCGAATTAACCCGGACCATGTATTATTATTTTTCTGGCTTTTTACAGATCAACCTGAAAGAACATTCACGAGACTTTTTTTATTTTTTATTTTTTTATTTTTTTTGGTTTCCAAAGAATATTTTGATGCAGATAAACTATTTTATTAACTTTTGTTTTTTCAGGGGGTTGTTTTTTTGTTCGTCTGTTTGTTTGTTTTTTAAAAGTACCTCTGCGTTGAGCATATTTTCTTAACTTTTATTATTTTAATGGATACGACATAAGCAATCGTCTTCATGCTGTTAATGAACTATAAATGTGTTTCTAGCCCAAGTTTGTGACATGTGGAATTCATTTGCATTTTTTTTCCCCTATTCACTGCACTTTCTTTTTTTTCTTTTTTTTTTTTCGTAGCCATACCTCAGATAATGTAAGTTTGGGTCTAGCATTTTAAAGTGTCTAAATTCTCATTCTGCAGCCCCAAAGGCTCAGCGAGGATGGGCCTGTGAGTTTGTGTAAAATCCTGACATTATGTGGGGTCTTTAACCCTTTGGTAGGTGGGCCGTGTGGTGGGTTAGAAGTAGAGAGAAAAACAGAAGGGCTTTTGGTGGAACTTTAAAAGCTTGGAGGTGAGGAAAACGGTGCAGAGGTTAAAAAAAAAATAGTCCACTCAGTCTGCAGCATTGATAGAGATCTAAGATCTGTCTAGGCTTCACTTCTCTTTTTATCTAACCCTTGCCCTCAATCTGGCCCAGCTGGGTGGGAGAATACTCTTTATTGTGCTCCTCCTGCATACACTATGCAATTGGAGTGCTTAAAAATACTTTTGTGACACCGTGCTGTCCCGGGATCTATAGGTCCACAGGGAGGGACCGAGTACTCAGAGGGGAGCCATGGAGAACCGAAGATGATGATGAATCGCCTAACAGGGATCCATGCCAAGCCCATTGTCAAAAAAAATATATTCCTGTCGCTCCAGTGTGCCTTCTGAGCTTCCTAACTCTCCCAAAGTAACCATTCCAGCGAATAGATCTGCCCTCTTTTCTCATGAAACTTCTTCTGATGTACATTTCAAAAAGCCGGCCTTGCCGGAGGGGAGCCTTAATTTGGGGATTTGGATGAGTTGGAAAATGCCACTTCATCCTCCATCCAAAATACCGAAATGCTGGCCTTTGTAAATCACAGGAAATGTACAAAATGTATTTATTTTCTCGGGTAATCGGTTTTTTTGTTTTTTTGTTTGTTTGTTTTTTACAAAGTTCTGCGACATACAAGTGTTTATCTTATCTGCAGAAATGTGGCCAAAAGAGGTATAGGGAATAGTTTTAGAAGTATGATTTTTCATAGTGAGAAGTAAAAGAGTTGGCAGAAAGATCGTGGTTTGCATTTAAGCATGTTTAAAGGATATGTATAAACTTTTTTTTGTCCCCCCCCATTAAAACAAAGTATGGTTTATTTTGGTGCACAAGTGCAAAATGAAAACATATCAAAGCTGAACTCACTACCCCATAGACAGATTGCTTTGTCCTAATGGGAAAAACTATACAAACATATTATATATAGTATATAAAAACCCATTGCTCAACTAAACGTCGTGTGTATAATCTAGTATAGTATTTTATTATAAAGCCAATAATCTGATTAAGCATCATTTGCATCTGATGCATGATTTTCTAAAAGTACAAAATGAAATGCTCCAAATGGTTTTATTAATTCGTGCTTTAAAATACTACTACTGGGTTAAATGAAACTAACATTTTGCGAACAAAGATATATGTCCAGTTCTTATCCAATTGGCATACCATCTTATCTGCACAGTGCAAAGCTGAAAATATTCCTCTAGTTTATTCTAATCTATGATTTAGAATTGTGCACTGTGTGGATCAAGTTCTTTGAACACATGAATGGTTTTAAGTTTTAAAACAGGAAACTAATAAACGTATGTCCCTAAATGGACAAAAGGAAAAGATGATAATTATGATTAACAACAAACTAAATTAATGCATATGTCATGTAGGCTAAATGTTTCTCATAGTTTACATTAAACTAAAAAGTAGTAGCACATTTTGTACTGCTAGTTTGATTTGATTAGTATATGAAAGTTAAAATAGGATAGTTACCAAATATGTACTATGCAAGTCAGGAATTATTCATTTCAGAATGTAAAGCCAAGTGAAAATTTTAAAAAAATGTAAATTACACTTTCCTTTAGTTTATTGGCCATACACAGTTACATTTCATGAATGCTCGGGGAAACATAACATTACCTGAATTAATTAAATGAATTCCTGTACAGAAAATATGTATAAATATAACACCTTACTTATAGAGCTTTGTAAGAGGGTTCTTGCCTATGTAGTTTTCGATCATGTTTAATTAGACACAGTTAACATTAAAGAAAGTTATGGATTACGATTATGTCCATCTAAATCTAAAAATGTCAGTAAATTTCACGTTAGTATTTAGGAACCTAATTTGCCTAGATTATAGATGACAAACATCTCGAGACTGACATGTCAGTTTCATTAATTATATTTAATTTAATTTAAGATATTCTTTATTTGGGACATCTATGGAGAAAAATTAGAGGTTCCCCAAAAAGATGTAATGGCATGGTGGTGTTTACTTTACAAAACCTACCTTCTGAGAAAACTAATTCCTTCCTCTGAGAAAACGACCTTCTAAGAAACCTACTTCCTTCTGAGAAAACTAATTTGAAAGTATGGGTGTATATAAATTACCTCGGTTCTTTTAGTTGAGGCACTTTGGTCCAGCAGTTCAAAACCATGTGACAATAATAAGGAATACTGAGAAAAGTTATTTCCAAATCTTGATATATATTATTAAAATTACATATATATATATATAGCATCTAAGAATTTTATTTCTCCTATTTTTAAATTGTTTATTTTTGTCTTGATCATGCCACGAAGACCACGACTGCCTCTTCCCCCTTGTTTTGTCCTCTGCCGTGATTTCATCTCGAACATTATTTCCAGCTTTTATCACCGATGACTTTTATGAGTTTTGAAACGTTAAATGTTCTATGAGATCCCAAAAGAGGGCATGGTTGCTCCTTCCATGAAACTACATCTATGCCCAGATGCAGCTAAAAACCTATATGCAGATGAAACTGGGCAACCGCATGAAAAAAAAAAATGATATCAATGCTATAATAATAAACATGGACATTTTAAAAAGATCTTATCTTAGTTTGAAAAAAAAAAACAAAACCAACAACGGAGTGAGATTGGATCAAGAGAGTTACAGAATGGGGAATCCATCTGGGCTTAGCATTTTACAAGGGCTGGCAAAAATTGCGAATTAATCTGTCGATAATACATAGCTCTAGGTCCTTAAACGTGTAATTTTTAGTGCCTCTTTTGTGATTAAAATTTCACGGTCTTCATGCATTCACCTAGAAACGAAATACAAGATGAATACAGAATGAAATGCTACAGGTGCTTTACTTAATTCATGCTTTAAAAAATACTGATGGGAGCCGGGCGTCATGGCTCACGCCTGTCATCCCAGCACTCTGGGAGGCCGAGGAGGGAGGATCGCTCAAGGTCAGGAGTTCGAAACCAGCCTGAGCAAGAGCGAGACCCCGTCTCTACTATAAATACAAAGAAATTAATTGGCCAACTAATATATATAGAAAAAATTAGCCGGGCATGGTGGCGCATGCCTGTAGTCCCAGCTGCTCAGGAGGCTGAGGCAGGAGGATCGCTTGAGCCCAGGAGTTGGAGGCTGCTGTGAGCGAGGCTGACGCCACGGCACTCACTCTAGCCTGGGCGACAGAGTGAGACTCTGTCTCAGGAAAAAAAAAAAATACTGATGGGTTAAATGAGGCAATGACATTTTGGGAACAAAGATATATGTCCAGTTCTTTTCCAATTGCCATGTCATCTTTATCTACATACCCTACAGAGCTAAAAACACTCCTCTAGTTTGTTCTAGTCTATCATTAAGAATTGTACACTGTGGATCAAGTTCTTTGAACACATGAATGATTTAAGTTTTGAAACAGGAAACCAATAAACGTATGCCCCTACGTGGACAAGAGGAAAAGATGATAATTATGGTGAACAGCAAACTAAATTAATGCACATATCATATAGGCTAAATGTTTAGTTTACGTTAAACTAAAAAGTGATAAGCATGTTTTGTAGGGCTAGTTTGGTTCGATCAGTACATGGAAGTTATGTTTGAGTAATATATAAACATATAATATTGCATAACCTCATCTTGACGTCACTCCTCCAAACAAGGCTAGCTCACGACACAGCTTTCTAATCACCATTCTCTTAGTTTCTCCCAAGAAATCAGGAAATATCTTCCAAAGTCCTGCCTGGTACAAGGCTGTCAGTTGGTGAGACATTCTTCTACTTGCTCTGTGCTTGCTTAGTATGTTCTCTGTTTACATCAATGCACTTTCCCATTTTGAACTTCCGGAGGGAATATATCTGCTTTCCTTGCAAGTTGCCCGCCCTAACTAAGATCAGGCTAATAAGAAGAACTTACAGAAATGCTCTTAAGTTGACAGCAATTTTGAATCATGTGTCCCTGTGACTTACACGCTTTGTGGAGGCTACTAAACATGTGCTCAAAAATGCTTTTAGGGCCGGGCGCGGTGGCTCACGCCTGTTAATCCCAGCACTCTGGGAGGCCGAGGCGGGAGGATCGCTCAAGCTCAGGAGTTCGAGGCCAGCCTGAGCAAGAGCAAGACCTCGTCTCTACTAAAAATAGAAAGAAATTAATTGGACAGACCGGGCGCGGTGACTCATGCCTGTCATCCTAGCACTCTGGGAGGCCGAGGCGGGTGGATCGTTTGAGTTCAGGAGTTCGAAACCAACCTGAGCAAGAGCGAGACCCCGTCTCTACTATAAATAGAAAGAAATTAATTGGCCAACTAATACATATACAAAAAATCAGCCGGGTGTGGTGGCGCATGCCTGTAGTCCCAGCTACTCAGGAGGCTGAGGCAGGAGGATGGCTTGAGCCCAGGAGTTGGAGGTTGCTGTGAGCGAGGCTGACGCCACGGCACTCATTCTAGCCTGGGCAACAAAGTAAAACTCTTCTCTACAAAGATAGCAAGAAGATAGAGAGAGAGAGAGAGAGAAAGA